AATGATTCTATGATTCTATGATTTATTGCATGGCGATAAATACAATGGCCATAAGATGGCAGCAAAGGATTTGCAGTCGTACTTAAAGCTGCATTGACCAGGTGAAAATCGAGCTCCTTCATTCCAGCAGTAAATTTGTAATCTGATTTGTGCACTCAGCTCCCCAAAGGTCGTAATGACTTCAGCCCATATAGACATCTGGTGACACAGAGCAGATGACATGATGAAGGCCTTTGTGTGTAACTTCCCAGAAAAAAATGTTTATCGAAAGGGAGAGAAAAATACAAAACTAACAGAAAGATGCAAATGTAGACAGGAAGCTAGGTTTTCCTTTTTAGCAAACAAAACCATACAACAACAGCAAGACCCCTAACTTGTTAGTACAGCAGATATTAGGATTTCACTAATCTCTCTAATATTTTTCCCAGCAAAATTTTCACTGCTTTCAGTGAGCACTTTGTTCATTTTTACTAGATGGTGTTCAGAGGAGAGTTTTTTGTGAGCAGTGAAAGTCCATCAGTTTATACCAATAGAGGAACCAGTCCCAGGTGTTTGACCAAGACAAGAAGAGGTACTTAGTGACTGTTTTCTCCTTGGCCAAGGTCAGCATAGCTGGTGCAATTCATAGCGGCTTGCCAAACAGGAGATGTTCACACTCACACTGGCAGCCATCTCTGTGGACTTACCCGTGTCCTTACTTCAGGGCAAGGTCTTTCAGAGAAATGCTGAACTCGGTAGATGGTGAATCGGGAAAAGCCTGGCCCTCCTCTCCCTCACTGTTACGGTGTATTGGGATCGTGACCTGAATGTCGATGTGGTCACTTCTGATTCACACTGGGGCCCAGGAGGGGAGAAGGAAGCCTCACACACCTGGATCCTGCTCTTCAGGGTTCATAGGAGCAGGTTTTATCTTCTAGGCATCCCTAACCGCAGATAAAGGTTGTACAGAGGCAGAGAGAGAAGCAGCACGCCAACCTGCTTTACGTAAGCAGTATTTATTGCAGTCAGCAGCTGGGAATGGCTGCGCCAGCTTACATGCAGCCAGAGACATTCAGTCTTTCTCAGTCTCCTGAGGGTCAGTAGTCCCTGTCCTTCGAGATGGGATCTGCCGTCTACCTCTCAGGGAAGGAAAGCTGACAGATTACATCAAGGGAATCTGTGCAGAAAGTTGCTAAGGTAAAATATTCATACAAGGGGACAGAATGAAGTACTGCAGAGGGAAGAGGGTATGTATATAAACACACACACTTTTTATATATACATCTATGAGAGCGATACAAGCTTCCTTGAATAAACCAAATGCTGACCCAACTTCAATTCATCCTCGAACCGATTTTCTTTTTGTTTATTTCATAAAGTTTATTGGTTTTTGTTTGCTTGCTTGCTTTTTTGGAGCTGTTTAGACAATTTTAGTTTGAAGCATAAATACTAAAGCATCAAAGAGGAACAGATTATTTTTTTGTTCTGCTTGGGTATATTCAGTTTCACCAGAAACCAACTGTAATAAAACAACGAGACTTCCAAGTAACTTTTTAGAGACAGTCATTGAATGCAGCATACAAGTGGGAGGGCTCATCTAAAAGGACTCCTCAAACACACCTTTGGGGATTTATCTGTTGTTGCTATACAGGCAAGTTTTGTGACAGAATAATCAGAAAAGTGTGCCAAAAACTGATTTCTGGCTGTGTAACAGTATTTCCACGCTTCTATCATTGCAAAATGATCCTACACTGGCACATATTTAGGGTGACTATTATACCTGAAAATACTGAACTTTCCTAGTCATTGTACGAGGAGGCAGCCATTCTGCCTTCTTCCCAGTGAGTATCCCAGGATCAGATCCATCACATTACACATGTTGTGACATTCTCCTTCTATAATCCTCATGCATTTTGCAGAAGACAACAAAACATCTTGTTATGTTTCTAAGATATACATTGATTTTCTTGAGAGGAATCACATTTTTTTCACCTACTGTGTCCTGGGGATTCAAATGGAAGGAGGTAAGACAGAGTCTTCTGAGTCATTTCTGGTGAAGCTCAAAATACCACAAAAGACGACTGAAGAGAAAGATTTTTGATGAAAGGAAGAAAGCTAATGCAAGCTCAACAAGTGGGATAATTATTGCCTTGGTGTTCTGAAGAAGACCCCAGTCTAGATGTTTTTCTTCCCTCCTTCCCACCCACAACCTTCTTTCTCCTGGGGGGTCGGAGTGGTCCCAAGCAAAATGAACGAAGTGACCGTCCCATCCTTAGTATCTCCCAAAGAAACGGTTGTAGGCCATGGAAAATCCTATTTGGTCAGAGAGATAGTCACAGGGGGGGTAGTTTTCACAACGCTCATGCATCTGCTCCATTGGATTTTTGTAATACTCAAAGTACCTGGAGTAGACAAAGAAAGAGATGCCATTCTGCAGATTCAGTCGATGCAGTTGGAGAGGTTTCACACCCGTGATACTAACAAGAGAAGAGTGATTCCCCAGGGTGTCCCAAGAGGAGACTTCTCATGATGAGTTAAACACCTACTTACACAGGGATGAACTACTTAATTAGTTCTGGAAAAAGTTGGAATTGAACCCAACTTAAAGCAATTGCTCTTGAGGTTTTATCAGCAAAGGAGACCACAGAAGCAGTTAGGTTTTTTTCTTGTCCCCAACCCCATTCCCCAGCTACCCAGGAACCTTTGTTGTTGTTATTTATTCTATTTTTTATTTAATTATTTCCTGCTTACCTTTATTTGCTCCCAATTTCTGCTCACTTTCCCGCTAGCCACTATTTTCCTTTAGCTTAAGGAGTTTCCTCTCATCATCTGCACCTCTGTTGTTGACAGCAATATCATCCCCACTCAGCTTTTGTTTTGCCAGGCTAAGCAAGCCCAAGTCTTCTAGTCTCAGCTACACAATCTGGATGCACTTCTCAACTCCTGTTCCAGGTGTAATCTTTCCTGCTACAGGAGAAGTCCAACCACTGTATCTCATGAATTTCTTTATTTCTGTATTGGAAAAACCCTGCAGCACCTTGAATTCTATTTGTTGCATCTGTATTTCCAGACTAACCTTACCTTGTGATCAAATAATACACCGAGCTGTCTGTCTACCTCCGTTCTTACCGATTAATGCTTACAGCAGAATCTACTTTTACGATGCACCACCTGTAAGGGGGTAGTCAGTACAGTCAGTACAGTTGCTGCTTCTGGTTTAAATATTGTTTTTAATGACTGCAGGTTTCAACATCAGCCAGTTCCTCTGCTACAATACTCTGATCCTTTCCTCTACACATGGGACCTCCCAATCTTCTGTTATCTGAAAACAACATTATCCTTCTAGTCCAAAGACGGATTGAATAAAAATTCTTTTTGTCACAGGCCTATGTTAGACAATGGCTTAACAAACTCTTCCAGGAAGTACATTAATAACATTCTTAGATGACCTCAAATTTCTCCAAATGTTTACAGCTAGGATTTCTCCAAATCTTCATGCCTAAGATTTCTGCACAAATGGATGTAGGTTCTACAGCTTCAGAAAGAACAGCCAATCTGATCTAGCCTCATCCCTGCAACAGAGCTGTACTTGTTTGTAGGGAGCCAGAGGCAATGACCAAGACTCTGTGATGCTCATTATCCTGGAAATCAGCTCTGATGACCCTGTCGGTTAGAGCAGCTTCTAACTTGTATCTTGCTGTCCCCATGGCTAGCCCAGACAGCTAGTACTGTCTTCCTGGGAGGAATAACAAAGTCCAGCTATGAGCTCTCAAAAGGATATTTATGAAAAAAAGAACCATTTATCTATCAATGAGTTTCTCCTACAACCTTTTTGCTTCTACACATGAAGGTAATAACATAAATGTACAACAAATTAATGCCTTGTCATGTCCTGTTGCCTTCCCACCCCCTCTTCAGAACAGGTCCAGAGTCCAGCTGTCAGCCTGACTCCTGAGTTGTTACCGTTCATACAGGCTGGATCTCTTCTGCCTCTTCACAAAGGCATTGGCAACTTCCTTTTTAATCTTAATGCCTACCAAGAGAGAACACAGCAGGTTAGAGATGCAGGGCCATGGTCTATGCAAAACGAAGACCAGTCTAACCTCTGAAAAGGGACAGTCTACTCTCTTCACAAGCAGATGATTGTCAGGGCCCATCCTAATTGCCCGTTCCTCTCTCCCCACCACACTGTCCACTCAAAGCCCAACAGCTGGGATCACTCCAACTTGCACATCTACATGGAGCATGGATCTCTTTTCTGTCATAAACTCTATTCCCTTATCACACAGAATGATCTGAGTCGACAGCAAATGTGCAGAAGGCAAGGTCGTGACAGCATAAAATACAAATAAGAAGAAAATGAAGGGAATGGCACCCTCTCGCCCTGGCCCACTTAACTGCAGGGTCTTGGCTTCCTTTCTATATTTTGACTCAGACTGAGAGTGATGTGAGATACCAGCCACCAGGCCCTAAAATGCCTCCAATGAGCCATAAGCAACAGGCAGCACATGGAAATACCAATGCTCACATGTGCAGACTTCCATGAAAAGTGAAGGGTATGAAATAATGAATAAACATCACCCAGGGAGAAATATACCCAGTAGGTGCAAAGATTCTGGTGTTCAGGCACCTGGAGAACATGAGAGGTCTTTCTGCCATGACAGTAGTAGCCCCTGGTCTCCACTAACACCCCGTGTCAGCGCAGTTGCTTATTTGTTCCCTTGGATTTGTGATTGTGCAAACACCGGGGTACTGTGGAGCACCCCACAAACAGCAGGTAGAGCCACTTTGCCCCCACTCCCAGACAGGGCTTAGCACAGCACAGCCTCGCTCCATGGGACGGACCCGCACCAGCAGAGGTGTGCACAGATGCCGGCACACCAGCAACACAGGGAACTGCACACCAATACGTGTTTCAGCAGAGAAACTGGCAAACTGTCACTGTCACTGGGGGAACAGAGTTTCGAGGACCTCTGTCTGTGGGGAGATGGTGGCGTTTGTGCCCTTTCCTCATCCTTGTGGGGTGTTTGACCGTGTTTCTGTTTGGCAGGTGAGAGATGTCGCCTCTCTAGTAAGATGGGGTTTAGTCTGGATCAAAATACTGACTACATAGAAACTGCCAATTAATGAGCTGTCAGAAATCACCACCTTTCCCTGAACACTCTTTGCATTTTTTTTTTCCTCTTTCCCAATCCGTATTTGCATTGGCTTACTGGAGAAATACCAGCTTTCATGCCCCCCAGCAGCAATGTTATCCTTTAAGGTGTGAGAAAGGCGAGACAGGGAAGAAAGAGGGGGATTTTCCATACAGATTTCTGCCAGGATCAGCTTGCTGCAAAAGCTGTGGACATCCCAAGGTGTGCAAATCCCTATGTCCCAGGCAACCTGACAGAGGAGGGACTGCAGCCCTCAGGAGCAGCCAAGGAAGGCACTTGCTTTCAGGCTCTCCAGGTGGTGGGATTTGGCAGGGATATCACAGCCTGTTGCCATGTGGCACCAAACCTTTCTGCTCTGTGGTGCTGCACACCAGACTGGCTGCTCAGCAGATCCAAAAGACAAATGCCTGGAGGCCCTGGGGCAGGTTCTGCTCTCTTAACAGTCTGGGGACGCAGCAGTCACTTTGGATAGGTCTCTGAGGCCAGCTCAGAGAAGCTGGGAGACTGGCTGTGTTGCTCCGCTCACATCACCTTGTTTCACAGAGGGCAGATGCATCCAGCTGCTAACAACCCGCAGGACTCACGTCTTGCCTGGGGGCTGCTCAAGGGTTGCGGAGATGCGGGTTATGGCACTAGCACACCCGGAGCGATGCCAGGCTGTCGGTGCAGGGAGGCTGACCTCCCTGGTGTCTCCCGCCCCCATGGCTGTGAAAGGCAGCCCCTCTGTTTGCTGCAGGTGCTCCTGCACCTCAGGGATTGCAGTGCTGAGGGAGCAAAAAGGGAGCAGCTAGAGGGACTCAGCATGGTTCCTGTTCATCCCTTGAGCCTATCAAAGGGAAGAAGGGAAGTAGATGCAGGAGAATGGAGCTGAGTATCAGTCACAATGATATACTCACTGGCAGCGCTGGGAGATCCTGAGGGGTCTTTGGGATCTGGAAGATAGACAGACAGACAGAGAGGAGTTTGCTTGTGAGTCCTCCTCCTCTGCTCCACTCTAACTGAATCCCTCTGCCTACTGGGTGAATCCAGCTCCCCCCCTTTCCCAGAAAGTCTGTTCCTCCCCAGAAAGGGTTTTATTAACACCCACCATTTAGGGATAGACTTCTTCACCATAGCAAAATTCACCCATTATGCCTGGATTTGTTTAATTTCAATTTCCTCTGAGCCAGATTAAATGACACAATAACCGTATAACCACTATGGAAGCTGGAGGAAGACCTTCCTCCTTCTCCCTCCTCACCCTTGCTAAGAGCAGGGACAGCTAGAGCTAGGGGACCATTTGAGCAAAACCCCAGATTTGGACAGAGCCTGAAGATAGTTGAGCATCTCCTCTATCTTTGGAAAGAGAGGTTTCCTTAACTTTAGGAAGAAATCACAAACTATTGATAGGGAAGGGAAATAGGGCCAAAATTAGAAACAACTCTACCCTCACAGCTTTGTGGCTCAGCCTTGGGGTACCTGGCTCACCAGCCCTCACAAGAAGAATTTACACATTATATTTCTGTGTTCAGTCCTAATCTTAATCCTTAATCCTTAATGTTTCCTGCAAACACCCGTGGAAACCGTCCTCTAAGAGGTAGGTCTCCTAATCTTAGTTCTCCCACACTGCCCTACTTCACAATTTTTTTCTTCCACTAGTTCACCATATTTTTCTTCAACAATGTCAGTTCCACCCAAGTCACCAGGTATTTGGCATAAGTGTATTTATGGGCAGAAAGAGGACTCTAGAGACCAAACAAATAACAACTGTGCTTAAACAAAAACTTCGTGTGAGAAGGGTTGTGTGTAGTTCTATTTTTAAGCTACATATACATTCCTTGGATTTAAAAAAAAAAAAATTAGAAGTTACTCCAAGGCCATTAAGCAATCTGGAATAATAATAATGACTAAAAAAAAGCAGATATATACTCAAGAGTGAAAAAGTGAGAGAGAGACTGACAGATCAAACAAAATACATTTGCCAGTATTGAATCATGACATATCTGATGCCAAGGACTGAATGAAATTTAACTCTGAATGGGATAATACAAGAAAAGACAGGGCCCCCTCCTGCTCGGCTTCTCTTTTCCTGCTGTAAAGGGAAAAGACTTGTTTTTCTGATCTTTCCCCCCTTCCTTCTCCATCAACTATAGAGCTGCTACTACATTACTGTCTCTTGATCATAAAGTCACCGTGACTAAATCACCTTCAAATGTGAAGTGCTCTTATTTCAATGGGACAACTCCCTTTTTTTTAACCACCAACAGAAGGCTTTTTTTCCTCCAGAAGTTCTCCACATCCCACATTTCCCTGCAGCTGAAGGCTTGACTCGGTGCCTATCTCTATGATCCTACAGCACTCCAGGGCTGGCAGGCACAAAATCCCTCTCCCTGTGGTCAACACAAATCTGCCTGCAGCTCAACTCTCTTACTCAAAAGTGAGCATCCAACAGACCTTTGCCAGTTCACCTAAATGCTAAACGGGTTTAATGCTGAAACATATTAAAATGTTTGAATTCTCTGCTGCAATTCAGTGGTGCAATTGAGGGAGGGGGGAGTTGACCAGTGGAAGAAAGTGCCCAGCAAGACGTGAGGCTCTCTATCCCCCAGCCCTCTCTCATCCATGACTGTCTCTCCGAGAGATATGAAGTTGTGCAATGACCGGAGGTGCACCTCCTCCCCCCGAAGCTGTGCGTCTCTCCCAGACTGACGGGAGGCTGACGGCAAGCTGCAGGGCTGACGGCAAGCTTCCCGGGAAGACGTCCCCTTACCTTTCTCACAACAGCAGAGCGCTGCCAGGGCCAGAGTCACGATCAGCAGTGCCAGCAGACTCCTCATGTCTTCTTTGGCTGTGCTAGTCTCCCCAACCTCAGAGCTTTCCTGGAGGTTACTGAAGTTCTCCGGAGCTTGCTTTTGGGCAGCAGTTTATATCCTGTGATCGCCTGGAGAGATCGGGGCTCTGGCTTGTGTTCCTGTATCTGAGCTCCAAAACAAAGCCCGTCCTTTGGGCCAGGAGATACTGGGTCCTGGCAGCCATTTTGACATCCATCTCAGGACTTTTTCCTGAACATTTTATCTGAGGTTTTGAATGGGACTGTTGACAGAAAACAGCTGGATAAAAAAATCAGTTTTATTATAAACACAAAAGTCATTCAGCTTCTTGCTGGAAAGCCAGGGGAGAGACCAGCACACCCTGAAGTAGAGCTGCTCCTTTCGTGTGATGAAGCTCTCTCATGTGGAAAATCAAATGAGACTGAACCCAGTGAAGACCCTTTTCCCCCACCCCACCCTGACCCATTCCTCTGAAGGTAAAGAAACCCATGCAACAGCTTGCATAGGGCAAACACACAGTAGATTTTTCGCTTCAGTTTCACCAAACCATTTCAGAGAGCTGAGATTTTTATACTGTTGGGATCTTTGGTGGTTTGTTTTGGGGACAGTCTTTCTTTTTTCTTCCTGGAAATCTTCCTAGTATGGAGGCCATTAGTTTGGCTTCTCTTGTCTAAAAATCAGGTAAACCTTGAAACTCCAAAAGTGTTTTGTTCTTCAGGATTTGAGTGGCTGTGGTTGCTTGGTATGTCAAAAGCCCTGCATGGGCTCTTCTACAGCCTATCTACCAATAACCCCGTGCTCCCCCAACCCACCAGTCAAGTTCCCAAAGCCATGTCTCAAACACAGCACATGGATCACATTTTCCTCCACCTCACATCCAGTCCTCCTCGGCCCCACATGCGGGGGAGACATTCAAGGGTTACAGAATTAAAGCCTAAAAGCCTCCCAAGGGCGGTCAGAACCATTAGGGATTGTGCCAATCCCTAGAAACACTGTCTTTTAGCATAGAGAAATTTCAGGATTTAAAAAAAAAAAAAAGTTTAACTCTTCTACAGTCCAGGAAAGACTGAATATATATACTAACAACTTCCAGCAAAAGTATCTTGAAGAACAACAGTTTAAAAATGAATAAATATCTAACATTAATAAGTATTCTAGGAAAGTTATGCTTCCAAAAGAAAACTTGAAAGAATATAAATACACAATTCTAGTAATCCAAACAGCTTTACTTTTCTTCCCAACTTTTCCCAAGCTTTCTAACCAGCATGTAGTCTCTTAAACATGTTTGGTTGTTGCTTACACTAACGAAATCCCACAGAAATCTCTGGTGTTATTCATTATTTATACTGGTATTCTGGAGGTTGGAATTGCCAGATATTTCTGGACACAAACTCAGACAGCACTAGCCCTGTGCCTTCCATTTTGATAGTGTCACAGTGTCAAGTCAAACCCAGACACTGCAGACTTGTTGACTTTAGGGTATGAAAGTTTTGCCCTGGTTCATGATCATAAGATTCACCTACATGGGAACATGCACGACAAGTGTGGGTGCAAATATACCTAATCTGTATGGCTTTTTTTCCTTAAAGTCATTTCTCTCTCACTTTTTCTTTTGGACAAAACTTTAGCAGCTGTCAGGGTGGATACTCCCATCAGAAGTGTTTTCAGTAAATAAATCACATTTCTTTCCAGAAGTTCATCTTCAAAGCTGGCAAAGTCTTGAAGCATATTTTGCAAGAAGATGTGTGTTTCTAATGTGGCAGGTAGATTTGTCTCTAGACTTAATTTCACAGAATAGTCAACAATTTGATACTTTATACCTCATAACCTTTGATAGCGTGCCATGAATCTTTCCCACTTCTATAATTTACAGGTGCCTGTGGAACCCTGGAGATGTGAATATTGAAACCAGCTGTGCTGAGCTCAGATAGAAGATGTTATGTCTCCTACACATCCCACACCAAGGGGTCTCCAAGCTGCTGTGGCTGCTGATCAGCCCAGAACAGTATTGTATTCTTGGGCATGTCAGCACTGGGTTTTTATGGCCTGGCGACAGGCTCTGTGAGGTGCCCTGGTGTCGGTGCTGGTGACAACCTGACAGTGGTCAGGCTCACTCCCCAATGGGCCGGGGGGTGCTCAGCAACCTGTACACAGGGTCAGGCCACATCTTGATTTTGAATGAGTTATGAACGTAAAATAAAATTGTTCTCGGTGAACAAAGTTGGGCTTAACCCCAAACACTGGGTTTCTTTTATTTTTTTATTTACCACCTGGAGCCACTCTTCACCGTTGGTTTCTGCAGCTTTCTAGCACTACCAGAATCATGCCAAGTGGAAGTAAGGGCATGAAAGAGGTTTCCAAAAGGAAATATGAGTAAAGTCCGGTTCACACATTCCTTTCTACAGGAACATCCTACGTTGGGACCTGAGGGTAGCTGGATAGATGAGATGCAATTTACACACTTTTTCTGTCACTAACTCTTGCCCTAACTTTGTTTTTAAGATTAAACAGGTGCCTTCTGAATTTTGTTTCCCCAACTGAGGAAAGATATCATAGATTTCATTTTCAAAAAGTGCATCTCACTCTGCTTTCTGAACACCACACCATTTTAAGATGTCTTAAGACTGGGAACTGAAATTTGCCAGTGAACTCTAAAAGAAGCCACTTGTAGACCCTGGAACAAAACCATTGTAGATCCTTTCAAACTCGTGTGATTGCAAAGTAATGACTTTTTTCCGTAATCCGCAGAAGATTCTATGATAAACAAACTCAGCTTCTTCATGGAAAATTGCACACACACCCCACCAAGTACTGTGACTCATGAGAAGATAGTATCAAACCAGCAATTTATTGTGTAGTAAACACCCGCATCCTGAACTCTCTCTGATCTCTGCTACATCAGCTCAGCGCTAATTAACACAGTGTAGGAATCCATGGCTACATAGGAGAGAAGCAGCAGATAGGATAACATACAGGGACACAAGCAACTGAATATGTTTCAGAGCCATTGCATTTTTTGGGTGGATACCCTGGGCTCCAGGCCCCAGGGTAGGAACAGGTCATCCTTTACTTAGTCCTCCTCCTCCCAAAATAGTGCCTGTAAGCAGCAGCATAGCCATGGCGAAAAGCATACAGTTCGCAGGGGTAGTAGTCCTCGCAGATCTCCCTCTGACGTTCCCGGGGTGCTTTATTACGCTCCCTGATCCTGCAAAAATAGGAGAGATGAGTGGTAAATGCTGCCATCTTAAATATCTGTCTACAACCCTTTCCTGCCCCACAATCCCCCACCAGGATTAAGGGTCCATCACCAGATTCCATCATCCAGCTACCAAGATGTTAGCATACCAGCTTCTGTGTTCACCACACCCAGGGGAGCGATGTGACTACAACAGGAGCATTCTGCCTCCTCAGGTAACCTTTTATTTCAGGGCTAAGTAGGGTGGTGGGGAGAGGGGGATGGCTCCTGCCTCAACCTGAGGAAGAGTCCTTCTTCCGCAGCCTCGCCATCCTGCTGCCTTCAGCTCTTCTGCTCTTCCCCGAAGCCACGCATGGAACAAAGACCTGAAACATCCTGCAAAGGGGCCACCTGGTACTGTGGAGAAGGTTTGCCTTGATGTCTCGCTAGGAGATGACTTCTGTGCTTCAGCCTTTATTTTCACAAGCCCTGCATGAGGCACGAAACTGCCTATATCTGCTTTTTATAGATGAGGAAAGGAGGCCCCCAGATGGCCCTGTGATTTAGAAAAGGTCGTGCAAATTCTGCATGAGAGCTGAGGACTAGAACAAGATCTCAAACTGAGCTTCCTTTCTTGCCATCCCACACCGTTCCCTCTGTTTCTGTTGGTGTTTCCTTCAGACAAATTAAGCAAATCCCTCCCAGCGCATGACATGTCCTCAGACGCAAGGACTTGCTTTCTACGATCTGAGTTCTGGCTTCTCACAGGGTTGGGGACTTCAAGGGCACCTCACACTGAGAAAGGGCTGAGGCGTCTCAGAAGTCACCATTGCTTTCTCCCCTGGTAGCAGCCTGTGCCTGGCAAGGAGAGACCTCTCCCCACTCCCATCCTCAGTGTCCTGAGGCCATAACATACCTCTCCTGAGTGATGGCTTCTAGTCTCATGTCAGCTTGTATGAAGTCATTGGCCCTTCGCCTGTTAATGAAGGGATCTGAGAAGGCAAGGGGTTGTTCAGAGAAGATAGACACTTTTTCAAGGCCAGATTTCAACAAAAGCTAACTTCCACATTTATAACAGCTTCCTTGTCTGCCTTCCCAGCCACAGTGAAACCCAGGACCTTTCAATATTCCCTGCTGTCTACCCCACTGGTTCATGCACCGGCTCTCCCTCTGGCTTGTGCAGTCTGTATGGAAGTGCACGTGCTGCTCTAGGTCTGCTGTTATTCAAGCCACCCAGGGTAAAGCTACTGCCACAGCCCCTCTGAGTGAGCGGATCTTGGCCAAGAGGTAGATGCCAAGCTGCGCAGACTGTGGGATGTCTGGGCATGCTCAGTAGAATTAGTAGAATTGTGGAATTATAGGTAAAAACAGGAAGGGCCTGAGTAAGTCTATCTGCCTCCAGGTTCGGCAGTCACTGAGCAGTCTGTGTGGCACTTTCAGACTGAGGTGCCTTCTGTCCTTTTTGAGAAACATCACAATCCTATTGCAGTGCTCAGGAGTCTGTGGATGTCTTTGGCATTGGCTCCCACATGTGCCTTTGTGCTTCTGACCAGCTGTTTTGTGAAGTCCTTCTCACAGATGGTCTAATTTCTTTTTAGTTTCAAACCATCTGTTCTCTAACCTCTCCAAGTTATTGCTTGTTTCATGGTGAGACTCTCCACCCTTTCATGCTTCTCCTGTGACACTAAGTCTCTCTTCCAGAGCAAGGATCCCTCCTGCCCACACATCCCAACTGCTTCTTCCAAGGTGCTGGGAGTAAGGCTTTCCCTGTCCTTGGGGAAGTACAAATCACGTCACTGACTTCTGCAGTACCTCTTTCCGTGCTCATCACAGACCTTTTTGAGCAATGTCCTTTTCTAGTGTCACTTAACCTGTTTTAGGTGGATGCA